TGGACAGGCATAAGAAGGAAAGAAGGAAGAACCATCGAACAAGAGGAGAATTAATCAACCTCGAGTCTAGCTGGGACGATCGCATTTCCCATGATGTGAACAGTACATGTACACAATATACAATAGCGCAAGCCCAAACATGACTCAACACTAGAGGATCGTACATTAATTTATTTGTATATTGAAATAGCTGCCACAGAACGCTTCACTCATTTGCAAGCATGTAAAGTGAGGTTGAAGTAATCAATCAATTCATGAGATGCATCATTTAGATCACGAAGTTAGGTGTACAAAAAAGCAACTAGGATTGCAGCCAGCCACCTTTTCTCCTGGTTTAATATACTTTTTTTCTTAGGTGGTATAGATAAAAGCTTAGAACAGTTTCATCAGAGTGAGTGAGGGCTTCTTAGCACAATGCAAGTCTTCCCTACGCGGCAATCCTCCTTCGGTTTCCGGTCAGACCACATCACGAATTCCTTCCAACAAACTCGAGCATTTCTTCTTCAGCGGACAATTAAACATTTTGGAGGATAACAAAACCGAGAGCGATATAGATCCCCACAGCAAAGCATGTGGTATCCCATTAAATCCGACGCAATACCAGGAACCTCAATCTTACATTTTAATTAATATCTGGGAGGCTCATCCCCATCAATAAATATATAGTCGGGGCGCAAATGGGATGAACTGCTAATCGGAAGATAGTAAAAATTATACACTGCACTATCCGGGTTAGATTTCTGTTGGGGCGCTGGTGAGACCGAGGAGAGGTTAGGATTGCAGCCCACCCTGGATGGAAAAAGCTTTAAGAAAGCATGACTAAATGGAATTCAATAGCATCATGAGGCCTACTGAGCCCAAAGTGGAAAAATTAACTCAGTCCCTCATTACTCGGGGTGACTGTAGCCTTTATTTATGATCTTGAAACCTTACTAAAAACAAAAGAACTAAGGCCTGCTGAAAAAATCCAACGAATAATACTCTAATAGCAAATATTGCCTTTTCACCTTTTTGGCGACGGTGCCACCAAAGATATAAATATGTTTACAGACTTGTACGGTACTCCAGTTCCTGCACTGCAAGGTGTGACAAAGTGCAGAAGTTCGAAAGCATGACTTTTATTCGACCTTAAGATTCCTTGAGAAGATTCGATATATGTCATTTGGAGGGATTCCATTATATTTGGCATGAAAGTGGGCAAATAACAAGTCCATTCTGTAAGCTCGAAGAAACCTCGTTAAAACTTAAAAACTAGATTAAAGATTCAACAGTGTCCAGACAAAAAAATATACCTTGACTGACAAAAACTTTCAATACACCTTTGCTGGATATGTGAAAATCGATAAAGATACATGGAGACATTAAGAATATTAATTAGAAAAGAGTTTGAACTGTTTGCTGAGCTTTTCTGAGTTACTGCTTCAACTACCCGGAAAAATCACACCGTAGCTTTATAATTCTACAAATTCCGCATCAAACTCAAAAGAAACAACCTTTTTAGACGATTTAACCGACAGAGGTGTCTAGATATAGTGCCATGGCTTCAATTTACAATTTTTACGATTTGAGACAGAATTAACATGCCTCCAGACAAATACTAGTTAATTCGAGCAGATAAGCCTCATTTAGAGCTACTCTAAGCTTACCTCAGGCAGAATGTGCTCCAATAGCCAGGGGCGCAGTAGATAAGCGTAGCCGTCGAAATGCCGGAGCAGTTGCATTCGAGTGTGGTACTCACGAACCATCAATCTACTAGCAACAAGACCAGCCAAATGTAAGGAAAACGAGGTATCTGATACGAAGCCGCAGACTTCCTCTGATTGAGTGCCATTGTCTTGAAAAAGAATTAATACAGTCATGTAGTTCAGTGGAATGAATTTGGTCCAAGTATAAGATGCCCTTAGGCTTGTGAAATGGTTAAGTCAGACATTTAATATGCTAGGAAACTCACTAGATAGGCCCTTGAATGATCAGGTTCTGTGTCTAATTCACAATCCATGCGATTTAACCCACTTAATTTTATATAGTAATTTTCTAATTAAGATGGTGCAGATAAGTATAACTAAAGTCTTATCATTTAAGAGAGGCATAGATTTTTCTGTCAGAAAAATGTCTTTTCATGAAAAAAATTTGCCGCCTCCGAATTGACGCATTGGTGGAAATCTTCTTAACATTAACATTACTCTGGTAGGTCAGTTATCTTAATGACCTTACATTTGTATATCAAACATAGTGCGTCATCTTAGGAAAACTGTAGAGATCAATATAAAAGAAATCCAGACTAAGTGGTACATACAGATGACTTAGCTTATTGTACCTAATTTTAGATCTTGCTAGAAACAAATGATCGAGAGACCTTAATTAAGCATATATAATGAAGCCCTTCTATAATCAAATCGCTTTTTATAGATGGAATAGTGCATCAAAAGATTCAGTGTGGCTATGCTTATTTTTTGAATAAATCTGATCAATACAAGCATTTGTCAACGATAAGATGTACTCTTAGTAAATCAAGATAGCCAGAAACAAGTGATTCAAATATAAGCAAATTTTCTGAAATGAAGACTATACCAATTAGAGAATGTT